CCCCCCCCCCCCCCCATTTCCAAGGGCAAGCCCATCACCACGGCCATTGCAAGCTCCACGGCAACGACCTGACTCAACCCACCCTATTTCTCCGCCTAAATGCTACGCTCTGCGGTGGAGGGCATGGCGGCGGTGGTGGCATCTGTGGTGTCTGCGGCGGGCGTGGCGCCGGTCTCCCACGCAGTGGCGTCAGCCGTCGACGCCAAGCCGCCGCCACGAAAGCGGAGCAGGAGCAGAAGCAGAAGCGGGAGCATGGAGAAGACGCTTGGTGCGGCGAGCAAACGGCGCAAGTCGATGCAGGATGACGGCGTGTCGGGGAAAGAGGCCAAGCCCATGTTGGTGGCCGAGACCACGACCGTATGGGCGACCGAGACCAAGGCCGACCAGGCCGCCAAGACCTCCAAGACCGACAAGCCAGCCAAGTCATTCAAGAAGCGCCGAGTATCCAAGTACGCGTCGATGCCGGTGCCGGCGTTCAAGATCGTGCCCGGGACCAAGATCCTGGTCGACGGCTTCCAGTACAAGCGGGCCGAGTACGCACACTATGTGCTGACCCACTTTCACTCGGACCACTACGTGGGCCTCAACAAGAACTTTGTCCACGGAATGATCTTCTGCACTCCGCCGACAGCGCGCCTGGTGGCTGCCGTCATCGGCGTCTCGCCGCACATCCTCGTCGAGATCCCGCTGCACACACCGACGTTTGTGGTGCCAAACGTGTGCATGACCTTTGTGGACGCCAACCATTGCCCGGGCGCGGCTGTTGTTCTCATCGATGTGTATCCGTGGGCAGCAAACGGGACGCCGGATCTGGCGGCAGCGCCGGCCAAGTACGTGCATACCGGCGACTTTCGCTACGACGCCGCAGGCCTCAACCCGCACCTGGACGCATGGCTCGGCTCGCCGCGGGCAAGCGTCGACGCCGTCTTCCTCGACACCACCTTTCTCAAGTCGCGCTTCAACTTTCCACCGCAGGCCGCCATGATCCAGTACGTAGTCGACCTCGTCCAGCGCGAGCTGCCCAAATGGCGGCGTCCGCTCTTCCTCGTCGGCTCGTACACCATCGGCAAGGAGCGGATCGTGATGGAGGTGTGGCGGCAGACCGGGCTGCGGATCTACTGCTCACCGGCTAAGTTCGCCCTCCTCTCGCAGCTCGGCAACGAGGCGCTGGACATGACTGCCTTCACCACCGATCCGCAGGCCACACCCCTGCACTTTGTTTCGATGGGCCTTGTCGGCTTCCGCACGCTGACCGCCAACGCCGCCGCGCTCCTCGATCCAGCGGTCGTGGCGCAGTTTGCCGGCTCGGCGCCGCCGCCGCCAGCAGACTCGCCGTACGACGGCCTCGCCCCGGTCTACGACCACGTCTTTGCCATCCGGCCCACAGGCTGGAACAACCGCGCCAAGGGCGGTGTCCGCGTCAACACCCTCGACGGTATCACTATGGTCGAGCTGCCGTACTCGGAGCACTCGTCGTACTCGGAGCTGCTGGCCTGCGTCAAGTATCTGTATCCCAAGAAGATCATCCCCACCGTCGACTGCTCGACCCGCGAGAAGGTCGCCGCCCAGCGCAAGCACTTTGAGGGTCTCGTCGACAACTCAGACAATCGCGCCACTCTGCTCCCGTTTCTGCGCGCTGGCGCGGCGAGCGAGCAGAAGCCCAAGCCCGAGCCCAAACCCGAGCCCAAGCCCGAGCCCGAGCCCGAACGGGTGCCTAGGGGTGATGCTGATGACGGGCCCGCATCCGAGGGCGATGACGACGTCCTCTCGCTCTCGCAGTCTTCATACGCGTGCGCGCTGCCTCTGCCCTCCACCCACACCAGCTCCTCTGACGTGCGGACCTTTGAGGAGCATGCCACGGCCATTAGCGACGATCTTCTCGACGTTCCGCTCCATGTCCGCTCGCACCAGCGATGGCTCCTTGCCCAGTTCAAAGCCAAGGCCAAGCCGGCGTCCAAGGCCAAGCCGGCGCCCAAGACAAAGCTTGCGTCCAAGGCCAAGCCGGCGCCCAAGACAAAGCTTGCGTCCAAGGCCAAGCTTGCGCCCAAGACAAAGCTTGCGTCTGCATCCACATCCCAAGCCAAGGACGTAACGCGCGACCACGCTGCTGTGGCGCCGTCACTCGCCCAGCCTGTCTTGGTTCTCGACTCGGACTCGGACGACGACTTTGTCATGATGATCACGTGATACGCCTCCCTCGCACCGCCATCCGGCCAACTCACCGTCGCCAATGGCTGCTTCCGCCGACTGCTTGTGCTACACTGCTCTCGGATTCTTTTTTCGCCGCGGAGCAAACCTTCCAAAACCTTCCAAAGCCTTCCCCTGCACCCCAACTTCCAACACTGTCAGGACACAAGGCACCACACCTCACCCTTCCACCACCACAGTAGGACAACAGCAGGCGCAAGACCACACCGGGTTTGCCTTTGCACGAGACGGCAGGCTAAGCGACTACCGTCCTCTCTCTCTCTCTCTTCCCCCCCCCCCCCCCCCTGCCTTGAGCCAACAGACCAAGCTGTCAGGGAGATAGCGCCACCGAAAGGCGGCGAGACGACGGAGAGCAAGACGCCGGGCTTTGTGATCTCAACGAGAGAGCAGCTGGCGGAGTAGGAGTAGTAGCACACGGGCAACAAGGGCCACGAGGTATGCATCCTCCCACCGAGGACGTGTCGTCATGGGCGAGGATACGGGAGCGACGGAGAAAGGCTGATCGGGCCGAGCCAGCTGCCTTTGTGGCTGCCACCCATGCCATGGTCAACGATCCCGAGACAGACCATGTCATTCGCTGGAATGAGGCTGGTACCGCCATGGTTATTGTTGATCCCTCGGCTCTTCGGCGGACTCTCCTCCCGCTCTACTTTGATCATGCAAACTACGCCTCGTTCACCCGCCAGCTGAACAACTACGGCTTTGCCAAGATCAACCCCTCGCATCTCCATCTCTACGCTCATCCTCTCTTCCGCCGCGACGCGCCCGAGGACATGGTCCATATCCGCCGCAAGTCCTCGTCCCGCAAGCTCGTTCCAGCGGTTGCCAAGCCGGACGAGGCTGCTGCTGCGCTCGCCGCCGACACCGCTGCCCTTGTTGCCCGCATCGACGGTTTTAAGGCTGCCCAAGCGATGCTCGCCGTCAAGCTCGATGCCGCTCGCGCCGCCAACGCTGCTGCTGCCGCCGAACTTGCCTCTGGTCGCGTCCGCCAGGCCCATCTCAACGGCACACTCCACGCGCTCTCGATGCTCTTTGCGGCCGACCCGCCGCCGACCCACTCGGCATCCCGCGATCTCCGGCGCTCGACATCCCGCGATCTCCGGCGCTCGCGCTCGCGCTCTCCACCAGCCTCGCCACCGACCGCCAAGCGCCAGCGGGGTCTTGCCCTCTCACCCACTGTCTCGCCGACCATCGACCATCACACCACGCTCCTCGTCATGTCCGATGCCACCTTCTGGGACGACCTCCCCCAGCTAGACACTCGCCCGCAGGATCGACGTCCATAGCATAACACCAGCCCCCCCCCCCCCGTAAAAACTCGGTGACCACCCCTCCCCCCCTCCCCCCCCCGGAAAAATCGGTGACCATGAACCAACCCCCAAATCCTCCCCCCTCCTCTCCCTCCCGCACAAACCAAGCAACTCGTCTCTGCCACTCGATCAAGATGGCGAGCACTCCCCGGGGGTTCACCTTTGACCTCCACCCACCCCTAGCCCGACTTGCTGCGACCCATCCTTCGCTGCTACCATGCCCCCCTTCGGTGCTAACAGTACGCTCCTCCCCTCTATCCCCCTATTCCATCCCC